AAATGGCAAAAAAAAATGGCATTTATTTGTATCAACAGAGTGGAGCATACCACCCCATGTGTTAGCATACCACCCCCGACTAATACTTAATATGGTAGGGTGATGTACTAGATATTTTAAATAAAGATTAAAAGTTTAAATTCTGAAATAATGAATAAAATATTTTGAACTGCAAGAATCACTTTAATAATAAATATTTCAAATATATAATTAAATTAATCAATAATTGAACAGAGAATGAAAAACAAAGCCTTGCCAATTAAGAAAGATAAAGCAAAATGGAGTCGATAGGAATTCAAGAAATCAGAAATAAACTAACCCAACGTGAAACACTTGGATTAGGGAAAGAGCCAGCAGAAGATTCCACATTTCCAGTTTTTTAATAATCAAATTACTTTTTAAAAAGTTACTTTCTTTTGTCTCGTTTGTTTTTTCCCTGTGAAACCGTCACGAATAAAAAGAGTCTTTATTACGTGTATACATAGCTTTTCTTAATTATTTATAAAAGTAGCTATTTTAAAAAATTATTTATCAAAATAATATCTTTTAGAAAGACACTGATGACTGGATGTACCTTTTCATACGTGGCACCCAAACTCCAAAAAGGTGTGACTGTGTGGACATGTTTTTACTTACGTGGCATAATTACAGAAAGGCATGCTCATGAAAACTCGACTTTCATGCATTTTAAATAGCCAACGTCGGGGTTGTCAAAGACCAAAAATGAAGAAAATTAAAGTAGTGAGAAAAATTAGAAAATAATTAAACGAATTTTATCTTAAAAATGAGCATGTGCGATACGTTTGTATCGTTTCTATGACATGTATTCACACGAACAAGAGTCTGAGCGAGTGACAATATTTGAATATTTAAGAAAATTTATAAATCATATCAACGTTTTTTTTCTTTAAAAGATAGATATAATATTTTATGTTAAAATATAAAATAAAAAAAATGAAATTATAAAATTTATCTTAGCCTAATCCAACCGTCCGTTTTATAATTTAAAAACCAATAAAATATTGTAAAGTCAATTATATTTAAATTTAAAAATTGATTAAACACATTATTCCAATTTTCCTAATGTCTTCCAGCTTTTTAAGTTGATTGTGACCGTTGATGAAAAAGACTCGCTTTTGATGCAAACATCTGGGACCCACGTCACATGCCCCTTCTCTGGTAATATCTGCTTAAAAAGAGCCCATCAAACGAAAATGGGACCCATTTTCCAAAATAAAACATAAATTGGAAATAAAATTGTAGAGCACTTGGACTAAAAGGGGACCATAAACGTTTTTGGATTTTTTTCGAACACTTATTTACAAATTTGCACTGTAATTAAATTTATTATTTTATTATTTAAATATTTTATTCATATTAATACTTAAACTATCATTTTATCATTTTTTTTATTAAAAAATTAAATATATTTATAAAATAATAATACAAACTAATAACAATGAGTATTTACATCATAATTATGTCATGAATAAAATCGTTTTTTATGTTTATATTTTCATTAGTTGTGATAATGATTGTCGGTAGAATTTTTATAATTTTTTTGTTTTAGTTAAATTATATCATTAATCATAAAATTATATTCATTTTTTACTATAATTCTTAATTTTTTTGTAGTAAAATTATAATAAATATTTTTTAAATTTTGATCACATTAAAATATTAGCAGTGTTGTTAATGTTATTTTTTCGATTTCTTACATTATTTTCTCTCTCTATACTCCTTATTCTTTTATTTATTTTTCAATATCGCATTTTTTCTTTGTTTATTTTTTATTCTCAATATCTTAGTCTCTATGACATATTTTTGTTCGTTTGACTTTTTTTTTATTTAATTTTTTCATTGTTGGATTTGATGTTGTCTCAAATAATCAAGTTAACACTTTGATATTTCATACTTTGATCCCTTTGATTGAATCTGAATACACTATTTATATTCGAATATAGTTTTTTCACGATACTCAATTCGAACCCTTTAATAGTTTGATTTTTTATTGTGGTTCATCTACCGATATAGTCATATATATGTTCAATAGTTTTATTTTCTATTGTGGTTTATTTACCGATATAGTCATATATGTTTTTATATATCTTTCGTTCTAATTTCTAAATGTGTTTTTAACATTTTCTTTACGTGATACTTAGATAACCTTAAGGATGCGTTTGATTCACGAAATGTAAGATTACCAGTTGAAATAAAAGATTATCAGGGAATAAGATTACTGAGAATGTTGTATTTTGTGTTTGGTTGGTTTAGCAAAAATGTAAGATTCCCGTGTTTGGTTAAAAAAATAAAATATTATTATAATGTATATTTGACCAAATTGTCCTTATTATATATTTGTTTTTTTAACAAGTTGGAAAATATTTATATATTTTCTTTAAAAAAATTAAATTCATAAAATTTATATAATTTTTTTACAAAATTAAAAATATAAAAAGGTTTAATGAAAGAGTAAAATTTTATTTTAACCCCTGAACTTCATATAAAATTTTAATTATAGATTTTTTTTGTAAATCTAAAATAGTTTAAGGATAAATTTGTAATTTAACATTCATAGAATTTTTATTACTCAATAACAGAAGAATAATATTTTTGAAAAAAAATTATTGGGCATTTTAGTATAAAAAGTCAGTAATCCAACAATATCTAAGAAAATGAGAGTAATGACATTCTCAATAATATATCCTAAAAAATCTACTATTTATAATAAAATATTACCAGTAATAAAATTCTCAACTAATCAAATGGGAGAATATAAATTCTATTTCTATGAAAATCTCATATTTTCCGAACCAAACATACTCGAGTTAAGAAAAAACGTGAGGGAAACAAAAAGATAGAAGATGAAAGTAGAAGGCACGAACACAAAAGACACTAATTGACCCTCATACACTGCCTTTCTTTTTACTTACGGGTCCTTTCTTTTCCCAAATACAACAGAAAAATAGTACACCCAAAAGCAAACAAATTTAGAGAAATATCCAAAAATTTAAAAGATAGTTTGCTTTTGATGAAATATGATCAAATGGAACCTGTTTGCTGTTGTTTATTAAATTTTGGGTTGATTAAATAATTCTTTAATAATAAAAGGTTATATTTTTATTTAAATAACACAGATAAATGGAATATAAGTTGTGAAGAGTTAGAATAAGTCAGTAAATGAATTAAATGTTTAGCGAACCGTTTATGAATCGTGCGGTAAGAAGTTCGTTTATTTATTAAATGAACGAACATGAACAAGATTTTACGTTTGTTTAATTAAATAAACGAACACGAACAAATCACAAGTTGAATGTGTTACGAAGATTATTGAAGTTGTTTAGATTTTAAGAAGATTGTTTTGTTGAACAAATTATAAGACTTTATTATGTTCATATAGCTTATTTATGATTTATGTATGTTTTTGTCGTATTTGAACAAATTAACTCTAAAATTACAGGTTATATTAATGAATTTTAAGTTATTATTGTTGTTTACTTTTTTTATATTTATTTGTTGTGTTCGAATAAGTTTGTTTTTTGTGTTTTTGTTGTTCGTTTATCATGCAAATAAACGAACATGAACAAACTATATTCCTTAATGAATGAAGATGAACAAAAAAAAAATTTATTTATTAATGTTCGTGTTCAGTTTATTTGCTCGTTTAGAGTCCCACTTTAGGGTGCAGCTACCGATCCAATCATGCGGCGTTTTTTTTTACTGTTTTTAGGGTACCCTTTAATCATCTTCTTTTTCTTTTGATTGTTTAAAGTTCGAATGGCTTCCACCATGGACATGGTTACGGGTAGGCTGTAAAACTAAATTTGAATACTAATAAATTTTATTATTGAAATTTCAATAATAATATATTTTTAGGGCACCCTCACGATATCTTTGATTATGCTTCTTACACTATTAGGGTTTCCTTGGTCCTTGTGGGTTGTCTCCACTATCAAGATTAGAATAAAGGATTTTTATAAATTTATATTAAAAATTTGGAAAATATAAATTTATAAATGTTCAGGGTATAAAAAATTATTATTAAAATATATTAATATAAATATGAAAATTATATAAAAAAATTTAAATTTATTTATCTATGACAGGATATTTGACAATTAATATATGAGAAGATATTGCGTCTTAGCCATTACGTAAAAAATATTCTTAATATTTGTTTAAATAATAGTTTTATCCTATGTTATTTTTATGAAATATTTCAGCTTATAATATTTTATTTTAAGGTAAAAAAATACTAATATTTACCTGAATAATCACTTTAGTATTTATTATTTTCTTTTGACGCATGATTTATTTTAAGAAAAAAAAAACAGAATGAAAATTAAAATAACTATTTAGTCAAACCTAATTATTTGGGATAAATTTGTGTTCAGTACATAAACTATTAGTTTCGATTTGTTTTAGTACTTAAACTTTTAATTTTTTTAAAACCATACATAAAAGTTTAGTTTTTATTTTATTTTAGTAATCCGTTGTTAAAAATTTTAATTTTTGTTTTATTTTAGTACTCATTCAAAATTTAACAATAAATTCTGAAAAAATGAAAGTTTAAGTATTAAAATTGATAATTTAAGTATTAAACGCGTTAAACTTTTAATAATAGGGTATGAAAATAAAATAAAATAAAAATTAAACATTAAATATGATTTTTTTAAAAATATTATATACTAACACGTACCAAAACTGATAATTTAAATATTAAATACTTAATTTACCCTATTATTTTTTAGACAACTTTCTCCTATGCCCTTGGGCTTGTTTTATTTTCACCTTTACAGATGTAGTCCTCAAGTTTATGAATTTTGCTATTTGCAACAGATTCTTTTGGCAATGCAACGAAACCAGAAAAATAAACCATGAAAAATGATGATTTTTACTTTTATTTTTTTCTGCCTTTTCACCTTAGAAGGAAGAAAATTTACTTTCCCCCAAAATGGGTTCTGAGGGATTTTACCATTTACAACGGAACTCAGTAAAAATAAAATAAAAAAGAGCTTCCATTACGATCTAATCATTCACCCACACGCCCGCCCACTGCATTCGCCACCGCAGTGGCTGCTACTCGACACATTGGCTGACAACTTCCGCCTCCGCCACGTCATCCTTGTTCCTTTTCAGACAAAATTATCGGTCTTATTGCATTTCGTTACAGAAGATCCTATGTCTTCTGATTCAGATCCACCATTGAAGACTCGAAGCTTGCTCGTCTGCAAAAAAATTGCAAACTTCGTCCGCAGTACTACTGATGAAATCATGCTCTTCCATCTTCACATAAGTTGTTTTAAACAACTGGAAGCAGCTGCTCATGGACGACGGCGATGAACATGCCACCACGTTGCTCGGGTTGCCGCCGCCGCCGTTATTCTCGTCATTCAAGATAGCACTCGAATCACTATCTGACGACCCGTCTTTCAAGTCGGGGAAAACGGTGTCGCCACCATCAACTGATCCACTTAGGCAGTTCAATTCCGCCGGTTCCGATGAAGTATCCAAAGGTGAAACCGGCGGCGGCTCATTAAGCTTTGCCTTCAGCTCATTAATCTGCACCATTTTCAGACATTTAAATAAACTCAAAGATTTCCAAGCTTTACCATGATGAATGAATTCGATCTTTATTGTCAAATAATTACCTGTTTGAGAAGAGCTTCATTTTCATGGCAGAGGGTATTGTAATTGAGCTTAAGAGATTCATAACTGGTTTTGAGAACACCGTAATCTATATCCAATTGCTTGGTTTTCCACCTGGCACGACGGTTCTGGAACCAGACAGCAACTTGTCGCGGTTGCAAGCCGAGTTCTTGGGCGAGTTTCGTTTTCCTGTGGGGTTCGAGCTTGTTTTCCACTTCGAAATTCTTCTCCAATGCCTTCACTTGATCTACACTTAATCGTCTCTTCTTCCCGCCAGCGCCGCCATGGCCGACGACCGTTAATTCTTCGTAACAACCTTCTTCGTCTAATCCATCTAACATCGACTGAAACTCCCGACTGTAAACATTGCTTCTGGGACTATGTTCATCTGTACCAAAATCAAAACATAATCAACGATTAAGACACCGATGAACATCAAAGACTGTTACTGTTTTGTAATCAAACTTGGGTTTTCTTTATTAGACCTGAATTTGGGCAGATCGACATTAAAGCACCCAAAGAATCGGAGCTTCGGGATCTCTTCATGGTTGATGATGTAATGAACAATTTCTTCAAGTTATCTTTAAAAATTGTCAATGGAAATTGTTGTTAAATAGATTCAACTTAGAACGAAACCCAAACAAGAACCAAATTGTACAAAGTTGTAACATTTTTACAACTAAAGAACAATAACCACTGTCCTGTCTTAACTTCTCCATTTTTGTTCTTCGTTACACAGTCCCATCAAACAACATAACAAGAATAACAAAGAGACCAACAGAACTAGAGAAAGGATGAATTTCCTTTCCTTTTTCTTTTACATTATAATCATATTAGAGTAGTCTAAAAGACATTAATCATCTAAAAAAGAAAATTATGGAAAAAAGGAAGCTTTTTTTTTTTCAGGTGAAAGGGAGAGGCAGAGAGGTGAAAGAGAAGAAATAAAGGCAAGTGAACGAGACCAGTTTCCCATATGTTTAAATAAAAGGGAAGATGGGTCATATCTGGGTTAGAATTTGACTAGGGTTAGCTGCAATTAGCATGCAAATGCAAATGAACCCAAAATTCATTCCAAATGCGATTTTTAGTTTACCCTATCGAATTTTAATCTAAGAATTAATATCTGAAAATATATATTTAGATGTACATTTTAAATGTTTTTTAAATTTATTTATATATTTAATAAATTTTAAAAATATATTGAGTGAATCCAATGTTAAAAAGGATATTATTTTAGATTCAAATAATTATGTCTACAAAATTAAGGTGTAGAAATTGTTAAAAACTAAAATAATTCTGAAAAGACATTACTTTATAATATCTTTAGACTAATAAAAAATAATGTTTAGTTTTATGTTAAGCATTAAAATTACTAAGTCAATTTTATTAATTATTTTTAAATTTATTTTATTTAAATTTCTTTTGAAAAATAACTATACCAAATTAAATGTAAACCAAACCTATTTCTTTAACAAACGAAAGTAACTTAAACTGTTACACATAAGGAGTCGGCCTTATCAGCTAAAGTATACGAAACCATAAAGTCCAATACATCAAACATCACAACGTAGTCATTTTCACAAATATAACTAAAGAATTTAACTTTTAGTTTGATCTAAAACCTTTTTTAAAAAGTTATTTCAGTATATAATTTTTTTTTATGATTATGATTTTTACTTTTTCATTTTTTTAATTGAGTTGAGCCAATTAGAGATAAATTAATGTATTTTTTAAATTAATTTAATTATTTTTATTTTTATATAAAAACATTAAAAATATAAAATAAAAATATACTAATCATTAACAACTATAATTAAAATTTTAAAAATATAAAATTATAAGCACAAAATCATTCGAAATCTATCAATTTTTTCATCTGATTCAGTTTAATAAAACTTAAAAGTCTTGAGGGTAAAAAAGGATAAAAAGAAAATTACAGAATAATAAAAAATTATAAATAATGTCATATAGCTTGTATAAGTAAATTTTAATTAATAAAAAAGAGTAATTTTATTGAAATGTTTTATTATTAAATAATAATTTCATATGAATCATGCCGGCTCGCGCGGTTATGCTATTGCTTGGCTTATAACGCGGCTTGGCTCCTTTTTTATGGCCTAGGAAATTTTATTAGTCGTGACCGGCACGATTAATCGGCAATCGCTTCTTCTCACATTCTTTTATAAAGATTTAAAGATCCAAAGACATTTTGGTTAAACTTAAAATAATAATAATAATAATAATAACTCTTAAATTTTAATTTTTTAAAATAAATTTATCAGATTAAACCAATTAATGAAAAAATAACAATTTCATTTCAACGGTACATGCTCCCTTTTGAGTTTTTCAATTTTTTTGCAATTTTTTTTCGCTTCATATTCATATTTTTCACAAATGTCACATTTTTTATTTCATTGTTAAAAAATTCGAACTTTTTAATTTTTTTTAAATATTTTTGATCAAATTATTTATTTATCCTTGTTTATATTATTAATTCTTGTATATTTTAAAAGATAATGTCCAAACGAATCCCACCACCATAGAAAACGTTGCTTCAAAAGAAGTGGGACTCACGTCTTTTATGACACAACACGTGTGAGTTAGATTTCGTAAAGTTATTTTACACATTTATACGGGAAATTATTAGATAAATCTAGCCACGTCACTTATGATCTTAACGGGATGGACATGGGTAGGTCAGGTCGGATTTTTGATCATCCTATTTGACCTGATAAAGTTAACTCGAATCCGATTATTTGAATTAATTTATCCGACTCAATACTAGATATTAATCCGAACATGATAATTAAATTTGATTCGATATCCGACCCGTACTTGAGCCGAACCATACCAGTACCCCACCCAGGAGGATATTTGGCTAAATCCCATGTAGGAGTATATTTTCCCTCCGGCAGGATGACATTTGGGTCTTAGGATTTTCCATCGACTGACTTTTCACGCATTATCGACGAGTAGATTTCCAAATCCGATTTAGATTTTAAAATTTGAGTTTTGCGATTTTGGAGTTAATGATTTGGATATTAAGATTTAGAGATTACGAGAGAGAGAGGAAGATGAAAGGGCTGGACAAAGCTGGAATCTATATACCAAAGATGTCCGAATTTCCTGTTAAATCCTTGGCACGTTTTAGGTGCGTTTGTAAAGTTTGGTTTTCCCACTTTTTATTACCAAACATCATTACAACCACCTTAATTTCCTCCTCAAACGTAATCATGGTGACACCCATAATGACATCTATTATTTCTCTCAGCTTTCGATTGAGAAAGGCCAAAATTTTTCGGTAAACCACAACATTCACTTACCCTTTTTCGAGAATTCTTTGTATGCTCCTCAACTTTATGGTCCTTGTAATGGATTATTGTGTTTACATGATGATGATGATATGGATGTCCTTTGGAACCTATCAACCTGAGATTTTAAAACCGTTCCTCAATCCTCGGTCCAACGCCCACTTAATCTGGACTGCAGTTGTTTTGATCGTTGATTTGGTTTTGGGTACGACTCCCAAACTGATGACTACAAAATTGTAACTTGTTGCTAATCATGTTTTAGATAATGAATATGAATCAAAGACGCAAGTTGAGTTATATTCACTTAAAAGCAATTCATGGATGGAAATTGTACTTCCTTACGAGGGTCCTTATGGCGGTGATGTGTTTTGTACACACATAAATGGGTTTTCTAATTGGCAGGCACTAGGGGATTTTGGTGAGCTTGTTCTTGCATTTGATATGGTTGATGAAACGTTTTCAATTTTACCTATGCCTGAACCTACCATTGGAAACTTTTGGACTTAATGGATTGCTTGGTGCTATTGTTTATCCAAGTAACTGAGAAATCTTTTGATTTATGGGTTATGGATGGATGCTGGAATAAACATAATTAACAACAAATCTTACAACTTTATATTCTTCAGTTTGAGGACCGTACCTAAAATCAAAGCAAAAGTCAAAACCAGTGTAATCCATATTAGGAGGACGTTGGATTGAGGACTGAGAAAGGGTTTTGAACGTTTTTAATAGTTTACTAACCCTAAATTGATGATTACAATAGGATAGCTCACGGGCTTAAAGTTGCCAAAGGTTCTGCTTAAGAACATAGCTCCAGTTCTTTTAATCTTTCGCACCTTTATCAATTTCTTATTTGTCTACCCCTAATTAAAATCTAAAGCAAGATAAAAGGGCTGAGAAAAACTGGAACCTACGTACCAGAGATGTTGGCGTTGGAGAACCTCTCCAAACTTCCTGTTAAATCCTTGACACGTTTCAGGTTAGTTTGTAAGGCTTGGTCTTCATCTTTTCATACCCCACTTTTCATTACAAAACATCATCAGAACAGCCTTAATCTCCTCCTCAAACGTAGTAATGGTAATGCCCGTGATGATATCTTTTATATCTCTCAGTTTTCGACTGAGAAATATAAAAACTTTTCGGTAAACCACAACATTCACGTGCCCATTTTCGATGATTATTGTTTGTATGTTCCTGAAGTTTATGGTCCTTGTAATAAATTGTTGTGTGTAAGTGAAAAATGCTCTTTGGAACCCATCTACCTCAGAGTTCAAAACCCTTCCTCAGTCCAACGCCCTCCTAATCTGGATTACACTGGTTTTAACTTTTGCTTTATTTTTGGGTACGATCCTCCAACTGAAGACTACAAAGTTGTAAGATTCGTTGCTTATTATGTTTTAGATGATGAATATGAATCGAAGAAGCAAGTTGAGTTATATTCGCTTAAAAACGATTCATGGAAGGAAATTATAGTTCCTGGCGAGGGTCCTCGTGGCGGTACTATGTTTAATGCATGCCTAAATGGGTTTTGTTATTGACATGCAACAAGGTATTCCGAAGAGCTTGTTATTGCATCTGATATGGTTAATGAAAAGTTTTCAAATTTAATTATGCCTGAAATTGGTGTCTTTAATCCAATACCATTTGGAAGTTTTGGGCTTCAATGGATTGCTTGGTGCTATTGTTTACCCAAGTAAAAGAATTGAGAAATCGTTTGATTTATGGGTTATGTATGAATGTTGGAATAAACAATCCAGTATTGAATTTGTTCCTAGAGTTGAGAGGCCTTTAGGGTTTTGAAAAGATGGTGAATTGTTTCTTAGGACCTTGGATCATGAACAAGTGTTGTTTGACCCCTCCACACGAGAGCTTAAAAAAATGGATATCCACGCTTATGAAAGAACAATACAAATTATTACTTATGTTGAGAGCTTGTTTCCATTCAATGGAAGATCAGCGTATGAGGAACGTATAATACATGCCCATTAAATTCATATTGAAGACGATGGATCACACGAGAGCTTAAAAATTTGGATATCCATGCAGTGCTTATGAAAGAACAATACAAATTATTACTTATGTTGAGAGCTTGTTTCAATTCAATGGAAGATCAGAGTACGAGGAACGTATAATACGTGTCCATCAAATTCATATTGAAGACGATGGATATGAGTTGATGGAATTTTCTATTTTGTTTGTTTTAGTGCTTTTGCGAAATTCATGCCTATAGAATCGCCTATTGATTTACTCTAATTTGCAGGTGCCAGACATGGAATGGTTTGCATACTTATATTGTGCTTTAGAAAACTCTGCATCTCCAATAATTGAATGTAATTTGAAGTTAAATATAAGGCTATTAGTATTGTTGTTGTTATGATCATGTCTTATAATCTGTAAAGCAATTGTTATAAACCCTACTGTTAAGGATTACAACACATGTTTGCGGCGATTGTTGTGGCTGACAACTAAACTTTTTTGACAGAAAATGAGATACTGACCATTATTTAAATTTTGAACATGAAAAAAACTATCACCAATTTAACTCATATATAACTAGTTGATCTAGTACGATGAGACACTAGATTCTTTAAGCAATGTCAGGGGTTCAAACCCTGATATTTACGAATGGAACAAATTGAGTTGGGAGGATCGTCCTCACTTCTATAGTATCCGATATGGATTAGTTGACAATAGATTTAATAACAGCGATTAATACAAATTTTTTTTTTAAGATCATATCATTTTAAGTGCAATATTTAATTATTTTTTTGAAAATTGAAGATAATCATGTAAATTATTTTTTGAATTTAATTATAAAAGGTTAAAATTTAAAAATCTAATTAAAAAATAAAATAAACTTTTGAATTAATGACTCGATAATCAGCGAGTAAGGTAAAATGTTTTTGACCTCTAGCTGAGCTCACTTACACTACTAATTTTAAAAAGTAACAAAAAAAATTCTACAACTAAAACTTGAGTAGTGTTAATTAATTAATTGATGCTTATTTAAAATATCAATTTTAATTTACGATAGATATTAATTTTGATTTGGTATAATTTCCCTTTTAATTTTTAGTCTACATAGATGGATATAAAAAACTATTGATTGATGATATTTAAATTATTATAGAAAAATTATATTTAATGCACTAATTCATAGTGCCCTCCGACGCGGTGGAACTCCAGCAAAAACACTTTTCTCGACCCATATATTACGGGTTTAATGGGAGGGAATTAGTTAAGAAGTGGCAAAGAAAATCCACGAGATCACTAAGTAGGCATTAGCTTCAAAATGGACCAAACCAAATTTCAAAGAAACCAACAGGGATTACCAACAGAATTATCCCTAGGTGCAAGGTGCATGTATGAGCCTATCGTATGCGAGCCACATATTTTGTGCTAAAAAATAAAAATCAAGTATAATATATATCTATACACATTACTCATTGATTCACTCCTAAAGTTAACATTTTAAAATTATATAATTTTATTTAAATATATATATATATATATATATATATTAATTTAGTTAGCCTTTATACCAATTGTTTCATGATTTGTTTTTAAAGTTGATAAAGAATGGGTATATTAATAAAAATTAGATGAAAATATTAATTGTGTAAATAATTTTATTAATATTATAAGTCTAACTATAAAATTTCATTATATTATAAAATAATTATAAATATGATTATATATTATTTATATAATTATATTTTTATATCTTAATTATATTTTTTATTCTATTTATTTATAATATTATATGTTATTTTTAGTTTGTAAGAATAAAATAATAAAAAAGAGTAAGAGACAGGCGGCAAAAATTTATCTTTAGTGTGTGTTATAAAACTATTATGAAAAAAGGAAAAAAAGGGCGGTTATGACAAAAGAATAGAATTTTGTCTTTATTATATATTAATATGTTTAATTAAAAATATTAATATCTTATTATTATTATTATGGAACATAAATAGGACCGATAGATTTTTCGGACATGGTCCTCAAATTGAATTAAGACCATCTCATATCTTATTGATAGAGGGATTGGCTTCTCGTATTACAAATAAATTTTCAATAATTGTACTCTTTTTATTATGTCTCTCGAATATTTTAGAGTTGGGATTGCTTGTAATAGAGATAGAACAAGAAGAGTATAATTATTGAAAATTCATTTATGCTATGAGAAATCAATCCCTTCAGACCTCATCAATAAAATACGAGATTATCCTAATTCAATTCGAGAACTTTCTTATCCCATTGATCTTGTTTGTGTTCCCTAATAAAATATTCTTACATAATAATGATTTTCATAAATAAATTACCACATTTCCATTACATTTTGATTGTCTAATTTTAATCTAAACTCATAATGATAATTACCAAGATTTGTCTTAATTTCAAGTATTCAATATTTCGACTAAATAAAAATGAAGATACTCGATTATGAAAACCCCTATATAAAAGGTGTCATTCCCTTTGATGGATACACTAATTGAAAGTAAGGATAGTCTAATTGTTATAAAAACGTTTTCTAAACTTTCTTTTTTGGTACAATGTTGATTTATGGTTTCATTTGAAGAAATCCAGTGGAATTTTACAAGCTTAGCTTGCAGTAGTCGAATAGTTATTGTAATTCTAAAAATGAGATTTATCTAAATCCTCTCCCACAACCATATGATAATATTTTTATGATTCACGGAGTATGGTCACAGGACGTCAATGATCAACCAATTGATCCGCACAGTCTATTTACTCAGTGTACCAATCAAAACCTCTTTCTAGTTTAATTGAAAAATGGGGTTTGTCTAAATCCTCTCCCGCAATCATATGATAATATTTTTATGATTCACGTAGTATGGTCACAGGACGTCAATGATCAACCAATTGATCCGCAAAGTCTATTTCTTCAGTGTACCAATCAGAACCCCTTCCTAATTTAATTATCAACGTAAGCTCATGTCATCTAATCAAAACTTCTAAATTTATTTTTATCTATATAAAATTATTTATTATCTTTTTTTAGTTAACTTATTTTTTTTCTTGATTTGAAAGCAATATCTCACCATAACTGACCAAACTTGAATTTTCTATGACTAGACTAGAATAATTCCCTAAACACAACAACAAACTTGAATCCAAAATATTTGGTACTAAGTTTTGTCTAAGCCTTAGCCGAACTCAAAATATTTTAAAGGATCCATTGGATAAGCAGAGTTTTTCCATGCTTTTCCCATTTATATCCTTAAAATGTCTCGTTTGTTGTTGTGTTTAGGTGATTATTCAAGTTTAGCCAATTGATGTGAGATATTGCTTTTAAATCAAGAAGTTTTGATTAGAAGACATGAGCACACGTTGATAATTAAATCATGAAGGGGTTCTAATTGGTACCTGAGAAAATGGATTGCGCGAATCAATTGGTTGACCATTGACGTCCTGTGATCATACTCTGTGAGTGGTAAAAATATTACCATATGATTGTGGGAGAGGATTTAGACAAGCCATGTTTTTAGAACTACAATAACTAATCAGCTATTGCAAGCTAAGCCTGTAAAATTCCACCAAATTTCTTGAAATGAAACCATAAAAACATTATACCATAAAAAATAAGTTTAGAAAATATTTTTATAACAATTAGACTAGCCTTACTTTCAATTGTTGAATCCATCATAAAGAAGAACACCCTTCATATAGCGGTTTTCATAATCGGGTATATTAATTTTTGGTACTCAAAATATCGAGTACTTGAAATTAAGACAAAACTTATCAATCTACGTATTTATCATTCTGAATTTAGATTAAAATTAGACAAAAGAAATGGAATGAAAATTTGATAATTTATTTATGAAGATCATTATTATAGAACAATACTTTATTAGAGAACATAAATAAGATTGATGGGATTTTAGAGAGAGAGTTCTCGAATTGAATTAGGACAATCTGATATCTTATTGATGAGGTATGAAGGGGTTGACTTCTCATAACACAAATGAATTTCTAATAATCGGTGGATCCATTAAAAGACAAAACACCTTTCATATAAGGGTTATCATAATCGAATATCCTTTTTTTTTTCGATGCTAGAAATATCGAGTACTTGAAATATTAGATATATGATATTTCCATGTATTAAAATGTTAGCTCGTGTCTCGGTCTGTTAAGTTTGACTATCTACAAGTTTGGTACCACAAGTCTTTTATTAGGTAGTCGGGAATTTTGTGACTCGAATCTGACCAAAAAATCAATAAAAAATAACAATCCAAGTACTCGACCTGTAAATACATATATTTTCATTATATATACCCAATAATTTTTAATCGGGACGATGGATCAAATAATTTGAATTTAATATTTTTGAATACCCCAACTTTTATATAACATTAAGCAAGTCAATTTTAAAATAATTATATGCTCCACTATCAAAATTATTTGTTTAAGTTAATTTTATTATAGAATAGTATTTATAATATTAAGGTGATTAAAAGAGATCACGATTAAAATATATAAATATCTTATATATATATATATATATATATATATA